AACCTATTTTAAAGAAAGATTTCCACAAAACCCACTAGTATTCTGCATAACTGCTGCAATTATAAGTGATCGTTAACCTCTGCACAGCATTTAAGAGCTTTATTTAGTAAAAATTATACAATAGTGACAGTGCAGTAAACATGTTCTGAGGCAGCACTTTCCAGTACGTATGCACAGCTGGGCAAATAATAATCCAAATGTTATAGGCCTCAAGTATTACTTCAAACCACTATGATGAACGTTTGAATGAGTGAGGAGATGCAATATGTATCCACTGAAAATATATTTTTGGGGAGAGAAAATCTGACTGTAAAAATGAGGGGGAAAAAATTTCAAAAGAAAATGCTGCTTTATAGGTCTTAAATCTCATGACTCTTAATTAAACTATTAATCCCCCCATTCTGCAATTGGCTGTGTTTGGTCCACATGCCAAAAACAAGTTAAATGCTCCCAAGACACATGCATTTGTAAAAGGTTAATAAAAAAGGCAACCAAGATTATTTTTTTCCCCAAAAGAAATATATATTTTTTTAAAGACAAAAGATTCCTGCAAAATGCCATTCATTACATTAAACTGCAAGTCATTTGTTTCCCCTAGAAGCAGGATCTGAGTGTGTTGCAAAGTGGAGGAGTGCTTTGCTTTCACTGCTTAATACCCATCTCTCAGACTAAGTAAAGAGTCATATTGACAGAAACTGAGAGGAGTCAGGCTCTGCATACAATCTGCAGGTCTCTAGAACGAAGGGCAGAGCTAATAGAGGGGGAGGACAAAGAAATCCTGGGGATGTATTTCACAAGGGATACAAGGTTCTGTGATAACTGGATACAGTTGCAAATGCTATGGACCCCAGGTCAAGAATGTCCACTGTACATTTATCCCTCTGATGACCAAACACATCTTGACTGACCCTCACAAGGGAGAAAAAAAAAAATGAGGTTTATACACAGAGATGACTCTAGAAAGCCTACTTCCCACGTACTCACCTGTCACCAAATACTAAATAAATTTAAGCTTTTTTCCTTTGAAGTTCAAATGCGCCTGTTACACACAGGCAACAGTAGGAATTCTTGGAGAAGGGCGCTAGCATCCAGCAGAAAGTAGGTGACAAAAACATGAAAGTGCCTTTTGTGTATTAGCCTCAACATAAAAATAAACCAAATGCTATACTCTACCTGAAAGGATTTAAACAAAAATTTCCAGAAACATACTCAAATCAGATTTTTATATTTTTCATGTGAGGACTGAAACACCTTCTACCTCTTCTGTTGAGATATATTTTATATTAAGCAATCACTGCGTAAAACAAATGAACACTCACAAGAAAAAGTGCTGGAACTAAACACCTCCACCTTTTAAAAAGCATACTTTGAGTGATAGGCTATCAACACATACCATTATAAAGCCTGGTTTTCTGGTCTTTTTAAGAATACAGCTTCAATTTCAGGCAGAGAAAAGACGATTCTCTTTCTTGCATAAACATGTTCCTATCCCAAGGAAGGTGATGGTGGTAACCCAGTTGTGCCTCTTCCTCCATTCACATTTGAAAAGGAGGAGGAATGAAGGTTCAGACTTTCATAGAAAAGGTGCAGGCATCTACCTCTAAGAAATAATTCCAGGCTCTGGGATTAACACAGGAATTTTGCTGATCAGGAAATGGTATGCATATTAATTATGGATCGTTTCCTGATGAGCTCGGTAGTTGATCCTACTCTGAGCTCTGCAGGCACTGTTTATTTCGAGAGCCAAAACTCCTTGCCCAGGTTTCTGAATGCCACACCGGGAACCAGCACCTAAAGTCCAGAGCATACATGTAATGAAGTCTGTCTCTAACCACGCATCTACAGAGAAACTTCCACTGAGGTAAGGATATTCTTGTTATTTATTTTATGCCACTTTCAATCATTGTCTCAGAGAATTGTATCACTGTTAACTGTGTTTATGCTATTACACTGGTCTGTAATGTCTGTAAACTACCCAGCATAGACAGATTCTTAGAAGGACTGAGCTACTGATCAACTGCCAGTCTTTTTGCCATTAGGGCTAAAAGATGCAGCGATAACTTGAGAAGGCAGAGACGCAGAAAACAGAAGTCAAAACCCAGCATGACTTTCTGAGACGTGATTTCCTGACCAGCTCCTGCATGTAACAAGGATGCTGCAGCCTTTAGCATAACTGAGTGCCCTGAGGAGTTATTTATGGACTGCTTGACAGTCAAGAGACACAAAGAATCTTTGCAACAGTCTGTCAGTAGTCTGAAAAAACTCCAGCAATGTGCCCTAGCCCATCCTCCACCAGGCATCTTGCTCCAACATTAAGGAACAGCACGGTCCTCTCTGTATCATATGTTTATAGCGTTTGTGCCAAGGAAATTCCTCTCGGTCAGCATATATGGGAGTCAACAACTCCCCCAGATGCCAACCACAAAGGGGCCACACTTGAGTAAAGAATCTCTTCTATTAAGTTTTCCAATTATGCTTTTTCTGAAACATTATTTTCTTTATTATAATTGGTCCTTTGAAAGTGAAAGGAAGGGGAAGTGGAGAAAAGCAGTTGTCATATGTTACAGGAGGAAAGCTTAGAGACAGATTTAATGGAGTATATGTGTGGATTATGCACAAGCCAAAAGCTGCTGCCAGTTTTGACTACTGTTGATAATGCTGAGGTTTTAAAGAAATGAGGAAAAGACCAGGATGCTTCTGTATCAGCAGGCATGGATCAGTGCAGCTTTGTTGCTGGCCATATTCCATTTACTTCCAGAAGCTGCATATAAGAATAAAATTTTTTTAAAAACATTATCAGGTTTAATATCCTTCCTCTCCACTTTATTAACACACGAAAGCTTCATATGGAATGTTATTGAGGCAGTGTTTATTAATACAGTCAGCAATTGATCCTTAAAGCAATATTTATCAGGAAAATTGCTAATGTTTCAGCTATAAGCACAAGATAAAAAGCAGTCTTTCTCCTTCCTCATATCCCATTAAAATAAGCAGCTAGGCACCATGAGTAGTAGTTTGGTAACTGTTAGTAATTTCAAATTCCCTATAAATTCAGCAGATGACATGCATAGCTCCTTCTGTATCTCAGCTAGACATTGGGCCTTCTCAGACTAAGCCCTCACCTATTCTATGTCAGCCCTTTCCATGTGTAATCAGAGTTGGGCTCCTCTAAGCAAAAGATTACCAGAAAGCCCAGAGGGAGAGAATTAACAAACTCTGCTAGCACTGAGGAATCTAAAATATCCCAGGAAATGTGTGTCTGTGCATTGCCACCTTTTGATACTGAAGTTTGTCTTCTCTGTGAGTAGGATCCACTGTGATAATCCCTTGAATATCAGGGCCATTATGTCCCATTAGAGAAGTATTAAATATCTCTGTCAAAAGGAATTATTCTGATCTAGTTGAGCAGAAATTGTGATTGTCCTTATTTCAGGTCTACACCATAGGTGCTCTAGAGGAATAAAAATAGTAGCAGGTGCTACCAAATAACTCTGCTAGGGTAGATTCATCTATCGTGGAAAAGCTTCCTTTTGCTTCAGATTGATAAAAATTTATTACTGAAGCTGAAAAGAAAAATATTTTTTAAAAAATAAGTAAAAGCACAATGTGTTTGGATAAACAAACTGAATTTAGGTAGGGGCTTTTCTCTCTATAGTTAAGTCAGATATGGGCCATGATAGACAAATTGTGGCTATAACTAAACTGGGGGACTCTGGAGAGCTTCTAAGTATGCATTCTGGCTCATCACATTCCATGTCAAGAGAAAGCTCAAGGTATGCACTGTCCCCTGTTTAGCTGGAAAGGAAACTGGCTACACCTGAGAATCCGTATTTCATCATCAGTGTGATTCTGCAGAATTAAGTCTGTTAGGCACGTACAAATTAAAGTTTGCCATCCCCTATTCACTTGCATTAAATGATTGCCAGTAACTCCTGCTCACTTGCAACTGCAAATGCTAGTTGAGGCTTCTAGGCGTTTTTTCAAGTATACAGATTTTTTTACTTTTCCTGGAGTCACAGATATGAACTGTTTATCATTGCTAGTATCAAGAAGTTAAACATGAGTCTAACACAGCCCTATATGGACTGGTTAAACTGCAGATTTTGAGTATGCAGTTTGTGTTTGAAACCGTTATAGCCTGAAGGTAGATACGTGTTTGTAATCTTTTGCAGCTAACAATAAATTTGGGGGAACGGCTGGCAGACCAAATAGTAATCCAGAGGCAGCTTTCAGAAATCTGGGGACTGGATTAACAGAAGTCTGATGAAGTTTAAGGGTAAGTGCCAAATTCTGCAGCTAAGGCAGAATAACCCCAAGCATCAATGCATGGAACTAACTGTTGAAAAGACCCAGGGGTTACAGTGGATGCCAAGTAAAGCATGAGGCAGCAGCATGCTCTCAAGGTAAATAAAGCTAAGTGTATATTGGTTATATTAGGAGTGTGGCCAGCAGATCAAAGCTCTGCTCGATGCCTGGCAAGGATGTGCAAGTCCCAAAATTTGTTTTCTGGTTCTGGTGTCCCAGATCAAGAAGGATACTGAAAAATGGGAGAGTGTCTAGGACAGGGCTATGAAGATGGGCACGTGCCCACAACACATGACATATAAGGGGAGGCTGAGAGTTTCCTTAGTCCGGCAAAGAAGAGCCTGGCGGGGCCTGTGGCTACCTGAAGGGACATTACAAAGACTACAGAGACTGCAAGTAGTAGCTAGTCATAGTTGACCTGGTTCTAGCATTGGCAATGCTCCTGCTTCAAAATCCTTCCAAATAACAATTCTGCATTTCTTCTATGATTCCATGAATCTGCTCAAATTTCACCTCAAAACACGTTTACTGTTTCTACCACAGGGCTTATTACAGTGCCTTCAAGTAGGACATGGTTCTTACAGGTATGTCAAAGTCCTTCTGTGTGACAGAAATGTAACTGCTTGGCCTTACTAAAAAGTAGCAGAGCACAGACTGGGAAAATCCTGATCTGACTATTCCTGCTGTCTAACTCTTATGTAACAAATCTTTCCCTTTTCTTTCCAAACAGTTAAGTACCCTTTTGTTCTACAAAACAAGTAGCAGTTTGGGGCTCAAGAAGAAAACTCCTCAAATACAAGAGATGACTCCTTTGTACGTATAAAATTATTTCCTTTCTCTTGTTAACATATTGCTAAATTTTATTGTGAGATTCTCATCTTGCATTTACTCAACAGTGCATTTTTTGGAACTGCTTGAATTCCCACATATAAGATTAACAGACTGTGATTGTAAGATATCATGAAGGTTAAGTCTTACTATTGGGAAAAAGCAACTTGTTGAGTGTGATTTAAAATTATCTTGATTTGATAAGTCCTTTATATTATTCCAGAAGGATCTGACCACAACTTTGAAGAACAGAGAAGGTAGACTCCCTTTTACTGTGGTCTTCAGTTGTAAAGGCAAACAAAAAGAGCTTGAATAAGGCTTGCTTTCTGTAGCAATATTTTAATACTGAGGAAAGATTATTAATTATTTATATCTCTGAAAAGAAAAGAAAGCATTAGAAATGTGAAGCTGTGGTTAAAAAAAGTCTCAAAATTTTTGAGATAACAGCGTATATGACACAAATGAACAGAAGTACCACAGAGGTGATTTTGTGAACTGTTTACGAGTAGAACTACAAAAGTATATTAACTCTCTACTTTCTTATTAAAACAAATAGTTAGAAACTTACCAGCCTATTAATTGTTAGGAGATGACAGGCATATAATTCTAAAAATACCCAGAAACTTTACATTTTGAGGTGAATATGGACTTGTGGTCTGAACACAGGCCTTCTAAAATGCTGGCTTTAATTCTAGCTATTATTATGACACCCTTTGCACCTCAATATCTCTTTTTATGATGCAGTGTCATACTCGAAAACCACATTTTAGGAGCAAAAGTTTTCACATATATTCAACCAGTATCTCTTTTGCAAAGCATGCCTTTTTTTTGTTAGGCCAGTTGTTTACTTTCATGTTTCAGAGTTCAAGGTAAAAAACTAGGTTTCACTTATTTCCTATTTCTTTATCTGGGTCAACAGCAACCATCTGCAATACATTAACCTTAAATCCTGCATGAGAATGGGAGTAGAGAGGAAGACACCTTTTTACAACCTACTTGGTTGTCTTTGTCTTACTTTCACATTTTTAAAGAAACAGATTGAGGAGGGTTAAATTTGAGCTTGGTTTTCTTTCCCTGCTTCACTTTTCATGTAGTTAAACAATATTATAATCATTCTCTCAATTAAAAGGCTATTTAGATGAATCAATGTTTATAGATCCTTCTGAAGAGGATTTTTTTATTGATAGAACTCCAGATCTTATCAGTAACTGTCTGTCACCCACGGCCAGCACCTTTTCTCTCCAAACAGCGTCATTTAAACCTCCAACATACACTTAAGCATGAGAGTCAGATTTCCTCATCTGGGTCTGACATCATGATACGCTGAACTGATTAGTCTTTTGAGAATACAACTCCTAATTCCCTTGTGCCGCAAATTCTCCAGTGTACCAAACATCTGCTGCTTTTTCTGGCTTACACAGCTGTGAGTCACTGCAGCCTAAAAACTGTATGCGGATTTTAAAACCATTAATTCTACTAAACCATGATGAGTATTTAAAAATGAGACTTCTTCAAGTCATCTCAAATATGAAGGCACCATGGGCATCATTTTATTACCCATCACTTTATTACCCATTATCCTATGGTCATTTATGTCCAGGCAGAATATAAAAGCTACAATTTGGGCCCAATTACCATCTTAAATCAAATTTGCAGTCACTTTATGCATAATACAGGGCAATGGGGAATGAAGGCCATAATCTGACTACACAGGGGCTTCAGCAGCAAAGCTGGTTTCAACAGATTACCTTTTCTAAATGCTCTGCAACCAGGTCACTTAAAGCACTGCTATACAGCATCATTTAAACCTACAACACACACTTAGACATGTCATTTGAGAGTTTGCTGTATTCAATTTAAGAAGTCGTGTCTCAGTTTTACTTCCATTAAATTAATGCCTCTTTATAAGCTCTGTGTTGAGCACGCAGATCTTTCATATCAAATCAACCAGACTTTTTTGACTGATACTTTTACGTTACCCTTAGATTGCAGTAGATGAAGCAGCAGAAACCTCTAGAATGAAAAGATTCAAATGATATGCTGAATTCTGAGGACAAATTAGTTCCGCAAATACAGAGCAGAATAATATGCTCATGTAAGCAAGCAGAATCTGGTTTCTAAACTTGCACTGACCCTCTGAAGGTGTTTGAAAATAACACCAAAGCCCAACACATCCTATATGATCAAAGCCCAAGTAGTACAGAATCTTTCACTGTTATATAAATACAATAAACATAGTGACCATTCTGATTGTTCTTCGAGAGACCAGCAATCAGTGTTAAACCAAAAATATTTTAATTCCAAATTGTGAGCAATATCAGAAAAGGCCTGTTTTGTTACAATGGTTGCTTTTGCAAGAGGTACATGAATCTGGGGAGAAGAAAAAAGGAAAACAATCAGGGGCTTGCAAGAATTCCTGAGTTTTAAATTTGATAACTAATCCTGATCTCATAGTTACACCTCTGTCTGCCAAGCAGAGTTTAATCCACAAACAGGCTCCTCAGCATGTTTCTGATTGTAAGAAATAAATTTCTGGTAATGGGAAAAAAAATTAACAGGCTCTTCTACTTATTTTTTAAGACATAAAAAGGGTCAAGCAGAAAAGCCTGTGTTTCAAAAAACCTGCCAAAGATAAAGTCATTTTGTAAAATGTGCCTATTAACCAGCTTTCAAAAAATCCAGCAAGTTCTTTATGTACGGCCAAAAATGCTATTTTGTTGATGACTATTTCTGATTTTAGAAAAGAAAGCAGTTTAGTTTAAATAGTTACTAAGTATGCTGGCTTCCAAGTAACACACCTTGCTGTTGTGATTACCAAACTACAGAAAACTGTTCAGAACTGGAAGAGCTAAGTAGGCTAAAAACAATCCAGTAGTCAACAGCTGTTGCTTTTTATCAGAAAGTCTATTTAATATCAATGTAAAGAAAAAAAGAAAAAGTAAAACAGGCCACCCCTTGCTAACATGAAGTGCTATATTATCTAGGGCATTTCTCTCTCCAGCCATCAGTTTTGAACTAGATACACGCGCTGAACTCCAATTTTATGTTTGCAAGAGAACTCTCCCAGTCTCTTCCAGAGACTGTATAAGAAGTCTTAAATTCTACCTTGTTGTCAACAGCCAAAAAAAGAACTGTGATGCCTTCACCCTCCTCTTAAATGGAGAAGTTATGGCCTTCATAGAGATAAACAAGTGCTTCGGACCATTTCTGGGATGAAGACATGTTCTGAAGAAGTGTATTGAATTGCTTTTTGTTTCTCTCTACCATTCTTGCCTTCACAGCATTAAGCAGCCATTTAGAATCATAATCTGTAGCAGTCTTGAAAAGAGAGATTCCTAACATTTTCTGGGAATATCAGAAAGCACAAAAAAACACCATCTAATGGCTACAAAGTGAGTTTCTGAAGCAGATTTCTGAAAACATAATTTTTCTTTTTCCCTATGCTGCTACAAGATAGAACAAAGGTCACTGTATGTATATTAATAGCTTATGACACTGTGCTTACTATTCCTTTTACATGAAGATGTTCTAATATAATGATCTCCGTGTTGAATTGGTTTATTCTTTGATATAACAAATTATATAATATAACTATATAATTCCATCAATTTTTAAGAAAAATTAAGTTCTCAAGTTCACCAAATCATTTTCTTTATCATAGGATATGGCTCTTTCTTCATTTGGCAAGTCCCTTCAGGTGCTACATGTTAGTATAGCATCATACCTATGAATAAAAGACATTTTAACAATGCTTCTGATGATCAAAATTAGTCCAACGTCTGCCATTTTCCCCCCAACTGTATACATTGAAGAGTGACTATTGCTATGCATGAAATGATGAGGAGATGCATACCATTTTACATGGTTTGACCGAAAGAGGACAGTTTAAGCTCTACTACAGCTGAGTCAGAAAAGCAGAACCCAATGACTTCAGTGGTACTCAGTGTGGGCTTTGTGTGGGTACAAGAATGCTGTATAAATAGCATTTACATGAATAGGGCCCAGTTCTGTATGGTTTCTTCCCTACAATATACATTCTTTCATATATTCTCGCTTATTGTACATTAGGCAAAACTGAAGCATGATTTTAAACTGGATGTAAATAACGGATATTTAACTGAAGAAAAGGAAAAAATCACTTGAGCTCTTGAAATTAGAAAGTAGAGTACCAGTTTTTCAATTCTTTCCCTAACGAAGATAGTGGAAAGGGTGGATGATGGAAGAAGCTGTCAGACATTTAATTAACAAAGACAGAACCAGAGGAAGAGAGAGAGTGGGTGTTTGGAGGAAAGACAAAAAAGAACAGATAACTGAAGGAGGTAGAGAGGAGCAAGACATTATAGAAAACTGGGCAATGAAATAAAGAAGCCTAAAGGACTAGGATGGATGTGGAAGGGAGTGCAAAGTGTAAGAAAGGATTCTTCGGTAAAATAGAAAAGACTTGAAGAAAATAAGTACATTGTGACATGGGATAGAGAAGTGTGTTTTTTGCCTGGAAAGCGCACACTGTATTTTGGGCACTGCTGAACATAAATGTATTGATTAGTATCTCTGATTGGACTGAAGCACTATCTTGCTGTAAAGGGGTGATAGAATTTTTATTGTGAAGGTTTAAAAAAACCCCAAACATAACAAAAAAAACCCACCCAGAAACTGCTTGGTTCCTGTCAGCAGTCCCTTATGTACATATTCCATCTCTTTCCCTCTATCATCAACGTTTCTCTGCTTTTCCTCTAATTCCATATGGCAGGAGCCAGCATGTCTGCATATTCTTCCTGAATTTTGTAGGGAACTAGGTAAGAAAGGCAACTGCCCAACAGGTTTTGCAGGATGAGAGCAAATAAAGAGCATTAATGGATTTCTACATTCATTTAATCATACCAGACATTTTTACAACTAATGTGTTCACAGACCAGTGTGCTGTTGTTATTGGCGTTTATTTTCTCCCCCATAGAACAACATCCTGATCCTAAAATCGGTTCAACACATAAACACGGGAGAGGAAGGAGGAAAAATAATGGCTACTAAATACTTACGGGAGAGGGAAAAAACAGACAGACAGAAAGGTAAGTGGGGAAATACATCATAACTGTTCATTGCTGCTGCCACTCCTCCTGATGGTCAAGTTCACTCACTGCATTTCCTCTTAAATTGCCCACTGAAGTTCAGGCAGGGGGGTGTCTTAGGTATTTGTACAACAGGGTCTCAACATGACCAGCAATCCACTGACTTCCAGTGGGCACAACTTAAGATTGCTGGAGGAAGCAGCCAGAGATATGAAGATGCTATTTACTAAGTACACTGGACTCAGAAGACCGACTTCAGTCAGTTCCTTCAGAGGCCCAGGAGGGGTAAGTTAAACAACTCTGTGGCCAGGGAAGATTTAGATAAGAAAGATGTGTAAAATCCTCCTTTAGTTTTAAAACCCTTTTCTCTTCCGATGCTTTGTTCCTGCTGTCAAGATAAAACAGCATTTTGATTTAAGGAACTCGTTCCAAAGCCTTCATGTAGCACAAGTAGCTATTTGGCAGCACTGAACTGAAGTTATGCCTGCAGGGTACTGGGTGCTATCAACTGCAAGCACGACGGGATTTCTCCATAGAGAAGGGATACAGGAATGAATTTAGCAAGGCTACAGAAGGGAACAGGTGTGCTACTGGTCCTGTAAATATTGACATGTACTCGTAAGGTTGCATTTAAGGCTAGAAATTTTAAAATAGTCCCATTAATTTAAGTCACTGGACTGTCATGTCCAACATTAAAGACAGAAGTATTTCTAAATACACTCCCAACAGGAGTTCCTGGCTGCCAGAGAGCAGGCCACCCTGAGCAACGCACAGACCTACTCAGCCAAGCAATCCACTCACCCTAGTGACCATAAAAACTTGCATGAGGTCACATTTTACGGGTTTTGGTATTTACGTTAAATCACTAGGCTCGCAGAATATTCAGCTTCCATCCACAAAATGCTTTCACAGAATTAATCCATACTGTACAATGCAATTTTAGTTTCCAGACTGCGTATAATTAAGGGCAAAAGGGGTAGAAGAGAGTTTGTAAAGCGCTGGGTATGACAGTGTTCTCTTCCAACTGTAGACCTCTACTGTATGAAAGATAGAATAAGAGAAGGATGAATATTCTGTTATATCTGGGAGTGGGTGGGACTGGTGTATTCTAGAGGTAAAGACACTTCACCTCTGCTCACTGAAAGATGAAGATTGCAATAAGGATGGGGTTTTCAACTGCAGGTTGAGGAAGGCCAGAAAAAGGCACAGGCAGCTGACAGTGGATATACAAACTCAAGACTACCAGGAGATGTTGAACTGTCACCTCTCCAGGTCTCCCAAACACAGGCCTGTTCCCCACAGGCTCATTGGCAGCCCTGATAAATTTCTCCAAGGTTTTGTTCAATCCTCATTGTGTCATCCATCCCATACTGCTTAGCTGCACTCCCCCTCAAATCTCAGTCTTCTCACTCAGTCTCCACCCCTCTTACTCCCAAGTGCATTTGCAGAGCCTGAAAGAAAGGCTGCTATTCAGCATATGAATTTAAGCATCTGCTTAACTGGATTTAATCAGATACTGAAATGACTTGTCAAATTTGATTCAACTGATAGGAAGGGTTAATAAAAAATTAAAATTATACACAAATTTTGCATATTTCTTCAAAATTGTTGTTTCCATCAGGCTGCAAGTATTAGTGGATGGAACCAAATGATGAACTTAAACAACACTGATTACCTTTCATGAATCTCCCTGAGCTATCACTAACACAATGAATAGCTCAGACTTTTAATAAAAGCTTGGAATCGACTTATGCCTCAGATGCTTCTACAACACATGACTAGGAAGCAGTAGGCTTCCAAGAGCTTTCAAACATGAGGAAAATGGGAACTTATATTGAAATGGATCACTTAAAATATTTCCTTTGCAAAAGTGTGATTTTTTTTTTTCATTTTCCCTGATTTTTAAATGTATAAATGTGATTTTTATAAGAGGTTTGTGTCTAACCTAGGAATGGAAAGCATGAAATGAAAGCACTTCATTTATTTTAAACTGCAAATTTTAACACAACTTTGTACAGGCATCTACATTGTCTCAATTTATGCATATTTTGAATTATTCCAGCTACTTCAGAAACACACACACATTTATTCCCTGACATTTCTTATCAGAATTTGTGAAGAAGATATATCTAAAAGTGCTTCAAGTCAGATATTTCTAAGACACATGCCTTGCCAGTGCATACTTGTGCAATTAAGGTATGCTGTATTTATTCACAGATCCCAAAGCATCCTGCACTAAATTCTGTCCTCTATCTGGAGTTAAATGAACAGCAGTTATCTGGTTTCTAGATTTGACAAATTCTTCTGGACACCTGCCAACTTTGTGATCTACTTGAACTACAGCTTAAGAACAGTATGAGATCACCAGGATTTCTGCACAACTTCAAAGCTCTGTAAACTAGAACTGCACAACTCTCAGGCTGAACAAACATCTCCGGGCTCTCTGTGCAGCTTTGAGGCTCCTTGAACCACAGCCATTTGTTTCAGAGAGTTTACAAATTCTATTAAGCATATCTGGAGCGCACCTAAATTCTAATACATGTCAGCTATTTTTTGCATTAAAAGGAACTTCAATATTCAGAAGTCCATGGCTTTTATCTGTCATTTTCCTCTACCAAAACAAATTTTGTTTGGTTGCCATTAAATTAAAATTTGTAAATAGAAACAATTTTCTAGACCATATTTAACAAGAAGAAGCCCTGGGAGATTGTCCTTGCAGTGAAAGCTGCTACTTATAAAATCCCTTACTAGGAAAAGCTCCTTATCTAATTAAAATTCAAACTGTCACTAAAAAAAATTCTCCATTAGCTGAAGAACACACACCAACATTTTAAAACTCCAGAAGTTTAAATGTAGTTCATAATCTGTTTTAATCTGGAAACAAGTTAGAATCTTAAACGTAACGCCTCCAACAGTACCAAGACAGCAGGGATGCTCATTTTCTTGAACACACAGCATGTGAACAGACCCAGGTGGACTAGTCAACAGTGTAAAGTGGGTTTTCTCTTACATAAGTAACTGGGTCACTGTTTAATGTCCCTTTGTCATTCTAAGACATTAACTGCATTCTGCAACCGAGTTAAGAAGGGATAACAACCAACCTCCTTGACAGATGCCATCAATGAATCTCCATAGTTTTCTCTCCTGTCATCAGCAATGACATTGTTTTCTCCTTTTTTGAGCAAATGCTATTTTATGGTAATCTCTCTCTCCCTTTTTTTTTTTTTAACATATTTGTAAATAATTAAACTCTAAGAACTTCCAGAAATAAATCAGATTTACTTGGGGAAGTTGGAAAATTATAATGAGTCTTCTCAAGGACTGTCAGCAGTAGCCAAATGGTACTTTAAAAAAAGAGGGTAAAAATTATCTGATTTTATTTACGTATATACCCCAACCATTTTCCTAACTTTTTTTTTGGGGGGGGGGGGGGGGGGGGCGGAGGCAGGGGGGGGGAGGGAGAGAGGGGGTGTTGCATGTGCTGATTACTGTTGTTCTTTCTTCCTTAGGAATATGTATTTAAATTTCCTTACTGCCTTACAGTTCCCACACAATGTTTGCTTGATTGTATATTCTTTCTGCTTTCATTTGGTTTGTCTCTCTAGTGTGAGGTCCTGCAAGCAATGTTAATAGACGA